TCGTAAAATTGAAATGTCATTTTAGTTTTGCACTTATTTAACCAATAGATATATTTGAAAGCATAAATATAAACAAAAATGTAGACTGATATACTGATTAAATTCGTGTTTCTTTTTACAACAAAATAAGTGTAGTTTTACGCGTTATTAAGCATTATTACTGAAATGTGGAAACAAATTTTATTCTTTAAATACGAGTATATGTTTCAAAATTTGATTCAGTATTTATTTTCTTTGGGCATTAAAGTGACATTATGCCCATCCAAGGGTATAAATGAGTGAACAAGTGAATGTCAAAATAAGTTTTCCTTTTGCCATAATTCCTTTAAATATAAAAATTTATTTCACATTAACAACAACCAACGCATTGATTCAAACGAAATTTTCATAAATATACATTAGAAGTTACCTGTAACGTTCATTTCATAAAAAGAGTGGGGCAGTCTTTTTATATTTTAGGCAGATTTATAATTTTATTTTTAACATTTTCCAATATCAACTGTTGGCCAATCGCCATTTTAACAGTCAATCTTAAAATAATAAAGTCAGTTCAGCTCAACTTGACAATGAAAATATGAGCATAATGTCACTTTAATTGCAAAAGCCTTGCCCCGAGTCCCAAATCAACTTGACCCGTCACTGAGGCTTGTTGATGCGATGCACTCAAATCTTTTATCTAGCGAGTAGAAATAATGCATCAAACTAAAGAAACCTTGTGACTTGTATTATGTACAGTAGATGGTGATCTTAACATACATACATGACGTATCTAAAAATCTGGAAACAAAGTGATCCCTCGGAAGCATTAATCACAAAAAATTACAAGAGAATTACAGACTCGGTTTGATTGAGTCTGTACATGAGGGATAATGAATACGTGCAACATCCCTCACGTCCACTAGCACCGGCTTGAGCGGTACTCAAATCTCAACACTTAATGGTGCTGGCATCAATTATCCCGAAGGACCAGAAAAATATAACAACACTGAAGTGAAGTACGGGGCAACGTTTTACAGCTGCCACACAGCACTTGACACCTGCTGATGTGAAGCATAAATATCTGGAAACAAAGTGATCCCTCGGAAGCATTAATCAGTACAAAATTACAAGCGAATTGCAGACTCGGTTTGATTGAGTCTGTACATGAGGGATAATGAATACATGCAAAGTCCCTAACGCCCCCTTAGAAAAGTCAGTAAGAAAATAAAAAACAATATAATCCAAAATTTTAAAAACGCATGAACTATCCCCAGTCTAACTTAATGAGCTCATTGGATCGAGGCTAGTCTGTGTCAAGAGACAGTGACATTTTTCAATATCGTAAAAGAATACATTTGCAATTTGCGCTATTCTTTTAATTTAAAAAACTGTAAATGTGAAATACATTTCAACCCTAGTATATTCAAATGTGTCACATTTTTTTAATTTATCAAAGTTCACGCTATGTATGTTACTGTAAAGTATCAGACTTACGAAGCACAAATCCGTACGGAAACGTATAGCGACCATCCATATATGATATATAATAAATTACCTTTTTTACAGTTTTATAGTATGTTTGTTATATGCAAATATGATTTGAGGAAAAAAATACATACATGTATTTAAAAAGATGTAATTGTTTTATGTTTTATTTTTTTCATTTTGTCAAAAAGTTAAAAGTAGTTTATCTTGCATTATAAGATAAAAACGTACGATAGACTACAAACAAATACGTATTATATATGATTTACAATATTACATGATTTAATTGCTTCCTTTACCAAATACAAATGTATTGACTTTTCTCGTGTCACACATCATATAAGACGAAATATCGCTTTAGCTTTGGGGTCTATGTTCCTATAATAACATCAAATGGTCGAATATTCCTTTTTATATAATATTTATCATGTACCATCCTCTGTACATACATTTAAAATGGTTAATTTGTCGGAAGTTATCGTTTTAAGCTCTATAAGCTCTATACATTATATATCTTACAAAAATATAATGGTTTCTATGTTAAGTAATTTACATCAGGTACTACTTCACTAGCTTATTTTATGCTAATTAACAACTAACGGAGTATGTCTTTTTTATATATTCTTTATCTTGTAACACTATCTGAAGCACAATTTTTTAAACATTCCTTAATCTTTGGAAGGCAAAAAGCCTCAATCAAATGTTTCATATATAATCTTTAAAAAAAAGCTTTCTATTGTGCGAGATTTTTCTGTCCTCATTATCAAATATAAATTGTAAAATATGTTATATCATATTTTATAATGATACAGGTATGCGAATTAAAAATCTCAATATATATAACTAATACATATAAATGAACAGAAAAATGTCACATAAATTTGAATCCAGCAATATTAACAGCATCTTGAGTAAATGATATATATTCAAGATCAAATAACAATGTAAATATTGGTCAAATATTTATCGTGTGTTAAATAAATTGTCTTAAATTCTGTTTTTAACCAACATGCACGGGCTATAGATATTACTAGATAAATATTTCAGATCAAGTAAGTTTATAAAAATTGGTAAGGTATATAGTATGTATTAAATAAATTGTCAAAAATTCTGTTTTAACTAACATATAGGGGTGGTCGCTATACGTTTCCGTAAATCCGACTGACTGATTTTTGAACTGTTTTAAAAATCTAAATTGCAAAATACCTAGTCTTTTATAAATGCTTATGACATAAATGATTGTTCATGAGGTAATAATGAAATTTAATAAAAATCGTTTTTACGGTCTGCTTCTTCAAGCTTTAATTAAAATATTAAAGGTTTTCTAACACGCTTAACAATATATCAACCATGTAGGGCAAATGCATTACATGTATTATACGATAATAATTTAAACATAAAAAACCATATCTTGTAGATTAAATAAATATCTTCATAACTCTCTCATTACGTTATATGTATATTTGTTAAATTTTTGTCAATGAAAACTGTATGAATTATATTTAATATCTAAAGGGAGCGTTTGTCAAAACAATCAAATTACATAGATCAGAACAGAACAGAACATATTCTTTATTAGAGAGGCACAGATAACAAAAAAATTACATGTCAATATTATGTAAGTTGAAGGACCAAATCTTAATAGACACAATGTAAATAGTTGTTATTGTTGTTTTATGTGTGTGATATTATATGTTGTGTGGAAGGCCACAATTAAAATAAAGATATGTTATTTTTTGGGGGGTTTCACGATGGTATATCTTCATGTGTTACCTTCTTTAAATAAAGATATGGAGGATATTAAATGAGTCTACATTCAATGCTAAATTTATTCAACGATAAGTAATGAATCTACCTATATATGAGTGTTCATCCGAGCTGTTCTACAGAAATTAAAACCTTCAACCGGAGCGACAGAGACTGGAGAATGTTTTTAAGTATAGGTTTGTGTTTGAAATTATTTTTGTCCAATAGGATTGCAGTATTTCAAATGAATCCTAACACATTCATTCGGGCGTACACACGTACACGTATTTTCCCACCTATGCGGTTCCTGTAATATCTATTTATCATTTTAGTACGAAAATTTATACTTTTTTGTTAAATGAACGAACGCTTAATTTAAATAATATTTACATGCCAGACTAAGTGACACTTTCACACTTCAATACATAGGCCCGGATAGACCTTAAAATTCGGTCTGAACTCAATGAAGTTGAAATCTCGAATTCATGAAGTTGAAATTGTGAATTCGTGAATTCTGTACACTGAAATTGTGAATTCGTGAACCCGAGAATTCAAGAAGTTGAACTGTCACTACCAGTCTTTCGTAGTTCTATCATAGAATTATGGCTTTTGTCTCGTATTTTTATTTAAACAGCAATCCGGATTGAAAACGAATTCGTTTTAAGTAGTTGGCATGTGTAGAATTCAATTAAAATCTAAATCAGAATGAAAAATTACTTTTAAAATGAAAGTTCGATATTTATTCATCGAGGCTGCTTTATCGTGAATTAGGTAGAAAGAGATTTATTTGTAAGATATTTCTTTATGTCCCTATTACCTTTCATTATCATAGAAGAAGGACAACAATAATGGAAAATAAACGCGAATCAGACCTTGCAATCCAGGTAAAATACCAAAATTTCAAACATATAATAAGACAACACTTTAACTCTGAAAGAGGTAGCTCTTGTATACCTTAATATTTTCAATTCGGAAGATACTGTTTGTTTAATGGAATAAATTTCAATTATTTCGACTGGAGATATAAACAAAGAAATCTCAAAATTAGAAAAAAATCTTACCTTTATTAATTCAACAGATAATTATTTATGCCCGATATAACACATTTTATAAGTAAGGATTTTTCTTTCTTTAACTGAAATCTTACAACTAAAAGAAACAATTTCATAAAATACTTTTATATGAAATATTGAGAAATATTGATGAAATAAAATGCATATTTTCATTTTCAGTATTTTCATGTAAGAATTTATTTTTCACTGCAGTGAAGCATATTTTCCGTATTTTCACGGGTGTCTTGTCGGACTACTTTCTTCTAATTCAGTCAATACACAAAATAAAAGGGGAAGCCTTTCAGGTGGTAGAAAATAGAAAAAAAAGTACATAATGAAAAGAAAATTTAAGATTTTTCTATAAATAGATGAATTATTTTCATGTTGTGGTATGAAAATTATCATAATTTACTCATAGCTACTGCCATTCATGAACTATAATATATAATAAACAGAAAATTCAAGTATTGTTTCTGTAATGTTTGTTATATGAAAATTAATATTTCACTCGTGGTTACCGCCACTCATGAAATATTTATTTTCATGCCTCTCGATGAAAATAAATCCTGTATTTATATAAAAAAGAAGAAAAGAAAGAAATGAAACCCATTAATGAAAAAATTGATTTGAGCCATTGTTTTTGTTATATTGAAAAATTAGTAAATAATAAAAATACATTTTTCTTTCAAGTTTTGTTTTAAATTATTATTATAAAAATATAATATTCAATATTCTTACTTTGAAACTTTATCCATAACGTAGCCACCGTCCATTTCCTTTATAAGACACTTATTTGTCTATTTATCTTTTTTCTTAAGTGTACGTTTTAAAGGAGTATCAACTTATATCGAATCTACGATATTGAGTTTCTATTATATAATTTCTTTATATTCAAAGTGATATTTCTTTTAGAAACGAACTTATACTACTTCGTAGTACAAATGTTCTTAAAACGCATTCACCAAACAAAATGACTTTGCAAACATCAAGTCAATCAATGCATGACGAGCATAGATATCAATTCTCAATAAATAAACGATTATATGATTTTTTTTAACTAAAATAAAATATATAGATGAAATTTCTATACATTGCGTATGCGTGTGTAAATACAAAAGCACAATAGGCCGTTCGATTTGTATAAGTTGTAGCAGAATGTAACAAGCGAAGTTTAATCATGCTTTCCGCCAAAAAATATTCTAACATCGGTATATATCGTTATAAATCAGTCATTTCCAGAACGTTATTTTTCATAATCTTCGGTATTCAATAATTTTTGACTGTTTATAACCGGAATTTAGTACATAGGGATACTGGTAGAGTGATTGTAAAATAATCTTATACCCAAGACTATGAAAAAAATGAAGTTCCGGAAATAACTGAATTGGTACGCTATTGGCCGATGTTAGAATTTTTGGCGGGGAGGCATTACAGTATAACTACCTTAACGCAAGCTTAAAGTGATTGCAAAGTGATAGTGTTGCTACCTCACAGTGGTTAACTATACGGTCAAGTTTGCGTTCCTTTGCTTCCATACGAGTACTCCTATCGGAGTATCAACATATTCAAGCTAAAATCTTAATGGAGGAGCAGAAAATTCTCACAGATTTGTAAGTTATTAAAAGCTTTGTTTCACGGAACATTATAATCAATCATTTATAATATTGTCATTTGTTCTGTTGATATAAGTTTGCATTAAATCGACAAAAATGAAAAGAAAATGGATAGTGTGATTCCTCAGTGAATGAAATCTGTTGTTTCTATTATATAGTAATGGTAAAGTTTGCCGTAACTACAACACAACATAATCAAATCAGAAAGCTGTACAGTCCATAACTTATATTCGGAGATAATAAAACATTGTATTTCCTTTTGACGAAAATGTACATAAAATGTTTTGCAAAAAAGCAAGAAATGAAATGGCTCCCGAAGTGTTCAGCTAATGTATGTGATCTTTTATATATTGTATATTTATTGAAAAGTAATCATTTCGCAGTAAAGCACCTTATTAAAAATCACAGCCAAATAAGAAACACACAATTCGAAACACGAAATTCGGGCATATTTCTCAGTCGATGTGTAGTCTTGTCTGAAGTAACCCCCAACTTGTGTACAAATAGTAAAAAAAATAAACATCACGTGGGAAACATCTGTAACAGTAATTTGCACGATGTCTCTATAAACTCAAGTTTTCATTCTTCACATGTTGTAAATTGTATAGTGTCTTTGGTCTGCTAACAAGGTAAAGTGAATCGCATTGAAGAATGATACTTTATTTTATAGAAAATTGACCACTTTTCTATAAAATGCGATCCCTTCCTCGGAAATCAGTCCAATACTATCCCAATTTAATTAATCACTAACTGTTAACTTGTTAACTAGTAAAAATGTTGTAACTGAAATAGAAGAGGTACTTATAAGGTACTAGTAAAGTTTGAAATTACAATGAAATAATATTAAATTCTCACCAAATAATAACAAAAAAAGGGTTAATTCTACTGACAGAAAGCGCCATGTTTACTTTGCTTTTAAATTATGCCAACTGATCGACCAATTGGACAAAAAGTTGAAACAATTGCGACTAGTGAGACCCTTAATTATTATCTAAGAACGTAATTTATTTAATCAAGTTAGAACGTAAGTTACAACACCAAAAAATTACAAAGTACAACAATATCTTAATATTTTAAAAATATTTAACTTCCCTAAAATAAAAAGATGTGCGTTTTCCTCAGTTTATTTTGCAATTATTTTTACAAACTATGCCTCTTTAGAGAATAACATCTAAAACAATAATAGAACAATCAATTTTAGTGTACATCACGTGACCCTTAATTTCGTTAGTTACTTTTTAACCAATCAAATTTAATTTCGTGTGATGAAATTTGGAATAATCCAATGAACAATGTCTTCTTCTTACTTAAAGTATTTACTGAAACTCTGTTAATTCTTGACAGCTTATAGTTACTGATAGTGTATTCGTGGTATTGAAATGTCTAAAATTGATAGATTCCTACTCCGACCTTTTATTTGAATAACAAAGGTTTCAAAATTTATTGGCTATCGACATGTAAAATAATAATAGATAAATGAATAACAATAGATTTAACCACAAACATTGACATGTGCTCTTTTGTTGGTGCAATTCTTATTGTACCCACTAATCTGACAATTAGGATAAGACAGGTCAGGTTCAGTTTATCCATAGGTATTTATATAATAATGTCTCTATGCTATATGTAGTTTAATGTGAAATAAAATATTGTACATTGTATTTTATTATAATTGTATACATAAATAATCTTGTTAAAGCGTTTACGGTAGATTGGTTGACTTAGATATTCCAATGTGTATTTGTACTTATGCTTTCTGTTATGCAGCCGCGCGACCAATTTAATTTTGTAAATACGTACTTATAAATTTTAACCGGCTTAGTGTTTTAAATCATTTTTGCAAACGGTCGATTTACTAGACTGGTTAACAGTTTGCCGATTTACCAAAGCAAGTGTGTGACGATTTATTTGAAATACTGCAATCCTATTGGACAACAAATAATTTCAAACGCTAAAACATGTTACTGATGTTAATCAATCAAAGCACTGAATGTACTGATGGGGAGGCTATGAGAGAATGTTTCAGACTTATAGTTTCTTTTCTTTTTGCTTAAAATATGCTACCAAAATAAAAAGATATGCACATTGCGCTATTTATCCTTACTGTTGTGTTCAACCATTCATATATATGGTTAATGTGGTTGACTATTCATTTTGTTAATATTCCAGAACATTTCATTGAGGTCTACATTCGGACTGTTAATCATGCAAATTTTGAAAAACCTAAACTGTCAATAATAAATGACATACCAGCAAGTATGACGACTGTTCATTATCAGATAACAATAACATTTTACAACTGACGGTTCCTTATCAAAATATTCTAGGACTGTTCATCATAAATACTTTATGTCATTTTAATATTATTGAATGATAATAACAACTGCAAGTGATGCAACATTTTTATTGAACATAAAAATTATACACATTTAGATGTACCATAATTGAGATCAATAAGATACTGTCTTGTGATGAGTCCTAATATTCATGCTCTACGGACAGAAGGTTGTCTTCTCCAGAAGCAAATCTCGAATAAAATCACGTTTCAGAAAATTATTCCCATTTCATTACTGACGGCGTCGGATAATATTAAAGCTAAATATTTCTTGAAAAAATACATATCTGCAAAGCTTATTCAAAACTGAATCAACCTAAGTGAAAATTGATCAGGAAGTTATATCTTCTTTTCTTACCGCCAACACTCAACCAACTTATGGTAGTTAATCAATAGATTCTACGTGTATTTTTAAACCTCACTAGCTTGAAATATATACTGAGGAAAATCTGTTGTTAACAGGGTGTGCGGTTATTACGGAGGGTTTTCCCTGTCGACCATTTCCCTTCTCACATCCCCTCGGAGCGTGCACGTCGCTGAGAAGGCACAGGGCATCGGCAGATGATGGAAGTTCGAGTTATAATCGTTTAAGGCGGCTGCTTCGTTAAGTTAGCTGCCGGTGTCCTGACTAATGCCGAGGGGAGTGGCCCTACAAAGTAGGCTGAGACGACAAGGATGGTGTACTAGGGTGCGTGAGCCCCTAGTACAGATAGACGGCTTGTAAGGCAGGCCTATAGCTGGCACCAACAGCCCTTTTCAGGGCTAAACACCTTTCCTATTGTCACAGGTTACTGTACATTTAGGTTCTCATTGACCGCCGTAGAGTGACCTACTTTTGGCTCAAAATTCATATCTTTGGCTAATACTCCGTGGAAATTGCATGGAGGTAAATTATCACCATTTTGTGCTTCAAAATTAACTCTTTAAGGACATGACTGGTGACATGTCCGGGGTCCGTACTCAACAGCGCAAGCTGCATTTTGTGCCCGAAAGGGCGGATGGACCCTCATTAAGCATAAACTAGAAGAAGAAGAAGTCGACCATTTCCCGCAAATAGATGAGAACATCGAAGCCGTCAGTGCTATGAATGGTGTTATAAATGGCGTGTTTTGGAAGTTTTTGTTGAAACTTCTCCAAATCCCTCCAGAGGCGTGCACGTCGCGGAGAAGGCACACGGAAGGTCATAGTCAAGTCATCATAAGTACCAGAGGTGATTGGTTGACCTGTCGTGACTTACTCTGTTAGGTTTGGCGCTAATAGATGCCGTTTTTGTTGTCGTCAGTCAGAAAGTTGATGCCTTGACGGTATTGTCGCCTCCTTTACCACCAAAGAACGAAGAATGGGCTTCCAGGAGGAATCTTCTGGAAAAAGACGTCCCAGATGCTATAATCTCGGACATATGGTTATTCCGGCGCCGAGTATAAATAAACTTAAAACACACACACTTTTGTTGAAAACAAAACAAAAAAACAACAACACATTTTCTGTAGTAATTTTTCAAGTGTTGTAAAATGAATAAGAAATTCCTCTTATGCCGCCGATTATTTTTAGAACACAAACATATAAGTTCTTTTTTTTTTTTTTTTTCAAATAAACATTAATCACTTCAGCGCGCGCAAATATCGTTTTCAAATTAAAGTTTCGTAAGATATGTTAATGACTTCCCGATGCTCGACTGTAAGTAATTTGTATATGTATGCAGTTTTTTTGTTTTTTTTTTTTTTTTTGTTTTTTAATTAAAGCTTCTTATTCTTTAATATTTTTTATGTATCTCATAATCTGTATTGAAAATTTGAATTTTATTACACATGGACTATCAAATTATGATGCGTTGCCCTAGAATTGAATAAACTTTCTAATTACACAATACGGGGTCATACTGATCTTTGCGTCTTTCTCTGAAATAATTATTTCCTTGTTAAAACATATTTGACCACATATTTCTGTCAATTAACTGTTCACTTTACTTCCGATTTTTGTTGTACGGAAACACATGTTTCTA